GAGTAGGTCCAGATTGTCTGTGTCATCGGACTGAATTCGCTTTCGAAAGGCGTTGAAAGTGCGTATCCAGTAAGTCCATTGTTTGGAGGCGTCAGGGCGTTCAGGTCGACATCAAATTTGTCGAGTCGAAGGTAACCGTCCATTATTCGTTGAGTAAATTGTAACGTTTTACGAATCAAGCAAACGAGAGCGGAACAGAGAAGACTCGGAGTCAGAATAATACGCTTTACTCAACTAATAAACCCGGTACATGAGCTGTAATAGAAAGAGAGGTTTATGTAATACGCAATATAAAAGGGTGTATAAACAAGAGAACGAGAATATGACAGGTGTCTTGGTCGCCCACAGAAAAAGCAGAGGTTAGACACCGCCCCGATTACTTCCCGTCTTTCGGTTTGAGGTTCCGAAGCATCTCGTACAGGATTCGGAGCTGCTACATCTGACTGCATGGATGTAGCACCGCATGGGACACAGGAGGTTGAATCACAGAGTTGTGACTGTTGCTAAGCTTGTTTCAACATGCGAGCTTCTTCAAACGCATGTTGAATATCAAGATTGTACTTCTCCAAAAGTCGTTGGCAAATGCTGTTAGACATTCGTCCCGTGGTGAAGGCGTCGCGGATAGCCTCGTCACGATGCTTTTCAGCAGAAACCGACAAGAAGTTACAGTCAACCGCGAGGCTGCGTAATTTCTGAGTAGACTGATCGACTGACTGTCCATTTTCTTGTTTGGTTGTTGCTATCACATGGCGCTCAAAGACTTCGTTTTTCGGTTTGATATACAGAGCTTCTATGTTTCGCAGCATCTCCTCGTAAGTAGAACAGTCGATAACCTGTCAATAAATTACTGGAGAGATAAGTTATTGAGGAGTTTTCTTGTATCGACGTCGGGGATCGCTACCGTTGAAAGAAAATTGTCGAAGTTGTGCCGCCAATGAATCCATTGCTCGGATGCTGTTGGTGAATGAAGATCAGTGTCAAAGTGGAGTAATGCAGAAGAGGATTCTGGTCGTATATAGGCTTTAATCTTCTAATAATCGTAGTACAAAAGCTACAATGTAAGAAAATGGAGAGTTAATAAAGTTTCATGTGATATAGGGTAACAGATCAGTTTATGACAGAGCTTCCGGAGGAAGGGATTCCTACTGAGTACACGGCAGACCCTTCGATTGCGCTACGAGAACTATAGTCTTCCAAATAATCCCGTTTAGTCCCTCAACTTTTCCGTTTGAGTGAGGGTTGTAGGCTGTCGTTCTGCTGGAGACAATGCCGTTGTTGTGAAGGAAGTTCTTAAGCTCTCCGAGCAGCAGTGATTCTTCCATTCTTGATGTTGTCTTCCAACATTGAGACACTAATGTCGGCAGATCCTAACAGCCAAATCACCATTGTCGGAGATTTCCATATCCACAACAAGGAATGGCTGAAGCACTCCTCAGACAACCATCATGGGACGTGAAGGAGAGGCTTTTGCTGTAGTCAACAACCTAAATCAACTAGTTAACCTCCCCACACGCATCCCTGATCGTATTGTTGACCGCGCCCACACCCTTGACCTCATTCTCACATCTATTCCCTCTTCTTTCTCCAACATCACTTCCTTTTCCTCATTAGGCTCATCGGATCATTGTCTCATTTCTTTTCTCACTCATTTCACCACCAAACTCCAGACGCACCTGTTGGCGTTACGATTCAGCCAACTGGGACGGTTTTCGTGACTTTCTGGCTTGTTATCCCTGGAAGGATTGTTTTTAATTGTTTTAAATCGGATTTTTCCAAGTCTGTTTCAAACTTCACGGGATTGTTCTTCAAGACATGTATCTCTATATTCCACACTTCTCTAAACCCGGCAAATCACGATCCCCTGAGTGGTTTAATCACACTTGCAACCGTGTTGTACGTTTCAAAAACTTGGCATTCCGTCGTTTGCGCCACTCACTCAATCCAGCATCCCACAACCGCTTCATGCAAGCCGGAAACAAATGCTCGGTTGCTATTCAGAGAGCTAAAGAACGCTTCATTTGTCACAAAGCTGCGCGTTTGGCTTCTTCCGCCCACAGTAACCGAACATACTGGTCCCTCTTTAAAGGGGTTTCACGTAATTTCTACTCTTCCAACTTTCTTCCCATTTGCAACTCCTCTGGTACACTTGTTTGTGAGCCCCATGAAAAAGCAGAGGTCTTCGCTTCCCGGTTTGCTTCCAACTCCACCTTATCTGCTGCCTCTACTGTTCAACCCCCCTCCTACACATCCAGTCATTCCTTTCTACCTACAATAACAACTAGAAAGCCAACCATCTCCGTCCCAGTAGATGGGGTCCTATCTCGGCCATTTCCTGTAAACGCCGGTGTTCCTCTAGGTTCCATACTTTTTCCCGCCCTCTTTCTTTTATTTATCAACGATCTTTAATCCCAAACATCTAATCCTATCCACTGCTTTGCCGATGATGCCACTCTCCATTGTTCTCTTTCTTATCATACAATCCACCAAGCTCACGCCAACATCGATCACGATCGTAATGTCATTAGTGCTTCCCTCACCTCCGATCTCGGAATGATCTCCGCATGGGTTCTACCAACCATGCGTGTTTCAATGCTTCAAAAACTTCTCTCCTTTCAGTCTCTCTTAAACATGCCTCCTTTTCTCCTCAATTGATTTTTGATTCTCTGCCTCTTCGTTCCACAAATTCTCTCTTCCTCCTGAGTTTATCCATAAATTCTTCTCTCTGTTGGTCCCCTTTTATCTCTATACTTGCCTCTTGCGCTGCGCGCAAAGTTGGTTTTCTATTCCGCGCAAGGCGTTTCTTCACACCCGAGCACCTTTTATACAAAGCACAAATCCGCCCGATGCTTGAATACTGCAATCATGTATGGAGTGGAGCTTTGTATTCCGCTCTTTATCTCTTCGATCGTGTTCAACGTAAAGCCATCAGACTGATCAATGAACCGCCTTTAACTTCCAACTTGCAGTCGCTTCCTCATTGCCGGGTAGTTGCTTCGTTATCTCTTTTCTATCGTTACTATTTTGGTTTCTGCTGTTCCGAACTCGCTCCAGCGGTTCCCCTTCCAT